CAGTATAGTGGTTAGAGAATCATATACTTTATAAAATGTTCCCCCCCGCCCCGATATTTCCAATACCCACCTGGCACCATACATAGTTATTACATTATTATTGACTATATTCCCTGTGCTGAACTTTACATCCCCATGACTATTCTGTAACTACCAGTCTGTACTTCTCAATCCCTTCACCTAGCCCCCAACCCCTCTCCCTTCTGGCACCCACCAGTCTGGCAAACACATGATCTTCTGTCCTCACATAAGCACACTCACCTGGTGCTTATTATTATTCAGGACTCCAACCACCAAAGGACACTCAAGATGAAAGAAATACGCTTTTCAAGTTATTAACGTTGTAGTTGAAAACCTCACAAGGAAAGCTCAGATGGCTTTACTAGTGAACTCTATTGAACAGTTCAGAAAGGAATAACACTGCCCTGGCCAGTATGGTTCAGTGGTTGGACATCCTCCTCTACACCAAAAGGTCGCTGGTCCAATTCCTGGTCAGGGCACATGCCCGGGTTGTGAGCTCAATCCCCAGTGTGAGACATGCAGGAGGCAGCTGATCAATGGGTTGCTATCATCATTGATTTTTTATTTCTCTCCTACTCTCTTCTTCTCTGAAATAAATTTAAATTAAAAAAAAGTAAAGAAAGGAATAACACTAAGTCTCAAAAAAAGTCTTCCAGAAAATTGAGGTCACCGGTGGGAAGAGTTCTGCTGGAGATAGCTGGGTGTGCCGGCGGCATATTGAACGCACAGAACATTTTATTTGTGATGTAAGCTGTAACAGGACCAGTGGCTAAGCTATTGGCTGCTCATTCTCCCTTGAATCCTAGACTTCCCTCCCTAGTCACTGCAATGGCCATGCTACCCTCTCCAGACCTCAGAAGTACAGGGGGGCTCTGTCTAGGGAACTGGGGGTGTTTTGAACAAGCCTGAGATTCCCAGAAAACCCTCAGGGGTGGCGAGTCTCAAGGTAGACAAGGACGCACACAGGCTCCCAGAGACACTTCTCTTCTGTTCTTTATTGGCTCTGCACGTGTTGTCTGAAAAGCTTCTGTTTTCACAGCCTTCACGATGGTAGAACTTCTCTGCTTTCAACAGGCCCGTCGCCCAGAGCTGTGCTCCTCCCTCGCCCGAGGGAAAAGAGGCTGCTCTGCTCTGACTGTTCTTTCAAACCCTGATGGAGAAGAGACTGTTCTTTCTGCTGGATCACTGGCACATGTCCTGTGGGTACTGGGACAAGCCAGGAGCCCGAGGCTAGCGGTGCCCATGGGGCCAGTGACTGTGCTTCATCCCATTGACTCGCCTCATCACGCATGGGATCTGCCACGGCTGAGAGCGCCGTCCTCCAATCCGGTACTCACACCAGCCCCACTGACCTCTTCAGAAAGGTCCTTATGTGGAACTATCTGGATTAGCAATAAATTTCGGGATATTTGGCTAAATTCCCTGTGGAGAGTCAATCTGTCTCCTTTAAAAGTAATAACTAGAGCCCTAATCGGTTTGGCTCAGTGGATAGAGTGTCGGTCTGCGGACTCAAGGGTCCCAGGTTCGATTCTGGTCAAGAGCATGTACCTTGATTGGGTGTGTGCAAGAGGCAGCTGATTGATGTTTCTCTCTCATCAATGTTTCTAACTCTCTATCCTTCTCCCTTCCCCTCTGTAAAAAATCAATAAAATATATTTTTAAAAAAAGTAATAACTAGAAAGCAAATCTCCATTCAAGAAATGTCATTTTTAGTATTTGGCCTAACATCGGAAATGCAAAGCAAAAATCCTAGCCCTGATCTAACGGCTTCTAATCTCACACATCTGGACGCCACTGAAGACCTCCCTGGTCACTCTGAGTTTAAATAAACCCTGGCTCCACTTCCGGTCTGATTGTACCTCCAGAACGCTGTGATGGGGAGAGGGGCATCCTGATAAAGGGGCCGTGCAGACTTAGGGAAGGTCTAAAGCAACCCTGAACACTTTAAGTCATGGGTCTGAAATTTATGACATAAAAATAATTATTATGGGGTGAGCTAAGAGGATAAGAAAAAGGATTAGAGGCACTGAGAGAAGGAACAGAGTGGGCTCAGTAAGAAAATCAGGAGTATCAGCCCGCGTGGCTCAGTGGTTGAGCATCAACCTATGAACCAGGTTCAATTCCCGGTCAGGGCACATGCCCGGGTTGCAGTCTCGATCCCCATTATGGGGCGCGCAGGAGGCGGCTGATCAAGGATTCTCTCTCATCATTGATGTTTCTACCTCTCTCTCCCTTTCCCTTCCACTCTGAAATCAATAATAAAAATATATTTTAAAAAAGGAAAATCGGGCATTTTGAGATATTAAGGCTGGGAGTATGTGAGGAGATTTTAGGAGAAAAGTAAGTCAATGGAATGGGTTCATTAAGCAAAGAATCCAGGTGGGTCAGTAAAGCAGGAGAGAGAAGTCTGTTCTTTAGGAGAAGTGGCATAATCACATCAGAGGAGGGTAATTAGTGAGGAGACGGTCCTGGCAGGCGCAGAAGGAGAGCCTGTCCGCCTTTCTGGTGGCTGCCATTGGCGAAAGAAATAAGGATGGAAGGAAAGAGGGAAGATCTCAAATTGTGGGAGAGGGGAATATAGAGAAGCAGAGAAGACATTAAATGTCAGGGCGATAAGACGAGCTAATGACTGCACAAGACAAAAATCAGTCATGCCGTGTGTGTGTGTGTGTGTGTGTGTGTGTGTGTGTGTGTGTGTGTCTGTGATGCACAAACACTTAATGGTGCTATTTCACAGCTTCACCCGGGTTCTAGTTCATGGGTTTGCCTCTCTTCCTCCTTCTTCCCTTGAGGGAAGAGCTAGTGTGCTCTTTGGTAGGCAGTGGTAACTTCCAGTATGTCATGGAGAAAATCTCCTCGATGCATCACTCTTGTCCCCTGCCTCACCAGCCCACATCTGGCTGAGACCACAGCCCCCTTTGCTGTAGACCTACATTGTGCCCTAGGGCAGTGGTCGGCAAACCGCGGCTCGCGAGCCACATGCGGCTCTTTG